TTCGAGCTCAGCACACGACACCCCGGGCTGTCCGATGTTGGCAGCATCCGAGTCACCAGACATACCTATCCAGACTCGATATCGGCGGGACATACGTTTCGGAAACGAACGCGAAACGGCGCGAAATTATTGGCGAGGCGGTCTTTTGAAAGCATTACCCCCTAGTAGTTAGAAATTGACATGTAGGTTTTTACAGCAGCCTCCAGGTGTGGCCTAATGGCTGAATTTGAGGCTCTTTGACATATTTGGGTCCAAAGTCGACTGGTTTTTGATTTGGTGATAATCCGTCTATGACCCTGACCTGTTCTAGATCGTCCAGCAACCGTCTGCATATATGGGTCAGAGAGAACTTCCTGTAGAGCAATGCCTAGTGATGTAGTTCGTATGTTCGTGGTTGCTGAAGCAATTCCTGCGTTATCGGAGCAGTTTCCACAAAGATAGCATGCCATCTCAGCCTGTTCGGGGCCTTGAAGTTTGTAAAAGCTGTGGTATGGCGCAATTAGTTGAAGCCATCCATAGAAGGACGTTGAACCGTAGGCAAAACCTGTGACTTTAGGTAAGAATTACCAAATATTTGGCTGAAGTTATATAAGTATAAAACAACCCGAGAAAACTGAGGTGCCACTACCTGGACCCTGCTAGTTATTTTGATTACCTACCTTATGTACCTAGGGAGTATGTACCTCGGGGTGCTTTGCGATAGCGAGCCAGTTGTCATTTGCTTGCTAAACGTCAACACAGCAAGTGTTCCGTGGTGCAATGCGGGGAAAGCTGGAGGAGGGCGGGGTGATCTCCGAAGACTAAGGCAGGTAGTTCGGTGTTGATAGGGAGGATCCGGAGGGTCGGGGTGCCGAAGGGAGGGTTTCTCGGCAAACTCGCGCTGATGTGACCCGGACGCCGCCGAGATGGATGAGGGGAGAGGATGGAGGCACTGCCGGACCTGGCTCTCGGGATTGGCGGGAGTTGCTTGGGATAGTTTGCCCAGGCAGGATTGGCGGTGTTGAACAATGTTTGGCCACTTGAGTGAATTGCAAGCAACACATATTCCTGGCTAAACTGTGCCGATGGGATGTGGCTCTACCTAGGTATGACACATATCACGGTGAGCGCGAGAAAAGATATCATGAATCCCGAATACCAAGATTCTCAATGTGGTCTTGTGTCTTGCGAGCCCGCAGTCTTTGAACCTGTAATCTTTTCGCAAATTGAAGCTGGGTACCCCATTTCCCCCCAGATTGTCGTCATGGGGGTGGAGTTCAAAGCGAGGAGAGCAACAAGGCCGGAGAGCACTCCATCCACCCAGAGTAAGCAAGATTGTGATTTCAGGAAGAGGAGAGTAGTGGACAGTAGAGAAAGTTGCCAACTGAGATTGAGCTGTTACAGTGTCTGACATCATTTTCCGGTTTAATTTTGACGGGTGGTATCAGCGGATAAAGGGTACGCCGTGGTTGGTTTCCAGTCTTCAGGTTTACAAGAAGCAGCCATCTCAAGAGGGACAGGTAGAAGTACCGGGCGAGAGGTACACATTCCGAGGTTCCTCAGATATGGTGACCAACGGACACTTTCCGTGCCCAGAGCCGGTGGGTGAGCCACGGCCGGGCGCCATGGCCCGTAGGGTCAACCCTCTGAGGTGCGCTTGTGCTCCCCTAAACACTACCTGCCTTGGGCTGACTGAGGTGCTGTCAACTGCCCTACAGCCCCCCTCCCATCATCTCCAGCTTTCCAGGTGGATGGGTACTCAGATTCGGAGTCAGGTACATTGTCCCAAGTACCCCAAGTACCTCATCGAGGTCCCAAGCAGTCACTTTCCATCTTCCGCCTGGGCCTGGGAGGGAGCTGAAATCCGATCTGCGTCGTTGGGATCTGGTCACTGCGTCCGCCCCTTCACAACCAGCTAATTCGTTCCTCGCGACCTCCAGCTCTTCTACCAGCCTCACCCCTCGACGACCTGTCACCGCATCCAAAGACCAACGACGAAAGGTTTCGGCGCAAAAGCTCCAAGCTTGTCGAAGCTCTTCTCCTTTACATTGCGCGTCTTTTGTCAATTACGCCGGCCCCCCTCACCGTCCGTCTCGTCGCTATTCCTCCCGTCCCCGTCGACCGAGCCGACTCTGTTAATTCTCGACCTCTACGTCTACCCGTGCCGATCAAAGGGTTTCCCGCTCGCGCATCCCTCGACATACTCCTCGACTGTTCCGTACCTTATCATCAATTTGTCGACCACTCGTTTGCCCTCGTCAGCCGAATCGAAGCGCCTTGCCCCTGCCATACCCTCTGGTCAATGTCAGCTTAGCCGCGGCACATGCGAAATATCCTCGTCCAAAACCACCAACCCAAAAAACCCGCGATACACACGATCACCTTCCAGCCGCACCAGCTCGCGGCCACGAGACACCTTTGATGCTCGAATCCCTCTCCTCTACATCTACTGTTTACTCGACTATGCATCCGTCGTCGTTACCATTCTTCTAGAATCTCTGAATCTTTTTTTCTTTGGACTTTTTGGGTCATTCTTTTCCCACCCAAGCATACTTTGCCCCCTCAGCGCTCCTTCTCGTTCCTCCAGGAAGTCGCAAACCTCATTTGAGTACCACGAGATCCTTCCACCTCCCGCCCCTTAACAACCTTAAATGCAAGCAGAGTCATAGCAATAAGGTGGCTTCGGAGGTTCAGCAGTGTGGTCGTCTATCACGAGTCTTGCGCTTGCAATAACACGCTCACACACCCGCACTGCTCCTTGACCAGAGTCTGAAGTCATGTCGCCTGTAAGTGCTACCCGCGTCCAGCTGCTGCGTTTTCCACCAGTCTTCCTACTCTACTATACCACTCTGCTCGGCCATCTGCCAAGTTTTCCCTGCAACAAGTCAACTTTTTGCTGATACCCAGTCTGCGCTAGCAGTCTCTCAATGACGCGGCGGTCCCTGCTGCTGCTGCTGCTGCTCCGGGGCCAGCTCCGGAACCGGTCAAGTACCTCTGGTTACGCGATACCGTTTCCCAGCCCGTCGTTGCCGCTTTCTGCGCCGGCGGTGTTGCTGGTGCCGTCTCTCGAACCGTCGTCTCCCCTCTCGAGCGCCTCAAGATCCTGTTCCAGGTTCAGAGCGTAGGACGCGATGCCTATAAGCTGTCTGTAGGCCAAGGCCTGGCCAAGATGTGGAGGGAAGAAGGCTGGAGAGGCTTCATGGCTGGCAATGGCACCAACTGTGTGCGCATTGTGCCGTACTCTGCTGTTCAGTTCGGCAGTTACAACTTTTACAAGCGGGTGAGTACCATGCATGCGCCTTTGACCAGCTTGTGCTGGGTACCAAGTGTGGCTCACATGAGCCGGTGGGAAGAACCAAAGCTAATACGGAACGACTCACAGAACTTCTTTGAATCTACCCCCGGCGCAGACCTCTCTCCTCTCGCCCGTCTGACGTGTGGTGGTATCGCTGGTATCACTTCCGTCTTCTGCACATATCCCCTTGACATTGTTCGCACCCGACTGTCTATCCAGACTGCTTCCTTTGCAGAGCTGGGCCCCAGGGCCGAAAAGCTCCCGGGCATGTGGACTGTCATGGGCACCATGTACAAGACCGAGGGCGGTATCTCTGCCCTATACCGTGGCATCATCCCCACTGTTGCTGGTGTTGCCCCCTACGTACGTGGTCCTGATGTGTTGAAATTGAATTGGTCCTAGACTCTAACTCGACAAAACAGGTCGGCCTCAACTTTATGGTGTACGAGTATGTACGCAAGTACCTGACCCCCGAGGGCGACAAGAACCCTAGCGCCGTCAGGAAGCTGCTTGCTGGTGCCATCTCTGGAGCTGTCGCTCAGACCTGCACTTATCCCTTGTGAGTCGGCTTGGTTGACATGAGGTATTGTTTGTCCTGCTAACAGACGCAGCGACGTTCTTCGCCGAAGATTCCAGATCAACACCATGACTGGCATGGGCTACCAGTACAAGGGCATCACTGACGCTATCCGGGTCATTATTACTCAGGAGGGCGTCAAGGGCCTGTACAAGGGCATCGTCCCTAACCTTCTCAAGGTTGCGCCGAGCATGGCATCCAGCTGGCTTAGCTTTGAGCTGTCACGCGACTTCCTGGTCTCCCTCAAGCCTGATGGTGACGGCGAGGCTGCTCTCTGAGATGAGATGTAGCTAGCATTATTTTATTTACATCCGATTGGGCTCGTCAAAGGGACCTTCGGTAAAAGGATTCCAAAGATACTCAGTATCAACGGGGTGCCTTTCTTAGACGGTGGCTGGTATAACAGTCACACCAAGGCAGAGAGACTGCCTCTCCCCGGGTTGTACCTTTCCAACCTGGCATTTCAATCACCAGTGTTTTGATAATGTATTACAACAAGACGCCAAAAGAGGCGGAGGAGGATATCATGGAGTTTCCCTGCATGGTATCATGGAAACGTGAAACTGGGCACCGCTTTCCCAGAAGGATCGATGCACAAAGAACCAAATGGGTAGACCAAGCATTAGCTAAATACAAGACATGGATCGAGCTCGCAAGAGTGTCTTTCATGCTGATGAAGTGGTAAATTCCCTTGCAATATATCGGCAAGGAGCTAAGAATGAGACCCTGTGGTCTATTCTAGACTCTTTGTGATTCATCTACTTTTCGTAAGAGTTTTCTGGCCATATCGATATGCACTACCTCGGTCAGAGTCACCTTGACTGAGAGAGAGATCTTACCGAGGCTGACCGAGAATGCAGGGGGCCTTGCAGACTTTCCACAGAGTGGGTCAGTGCAGGTCCACCGTTCCATTCAGCAGCCGCGCCCGTCTGGAAGAAAAGGGCCCACCGGAAAATTTATTGATCCACTCGACGTTGATTTCAGTTGCCCTAAAGCCCACACAGCCCGATTTTTCCGCCTGGCGAGGAGAGCGTAATTCTAGTGTGGCCCGGCGGAAATCTTTTGAAAGTTTCTCTTTTACACCGACGACGACAACATCACGGCCGCCCATTTGACTCAATTCGCCAACTTCGGGAGTCTATCGACAAAATGGGTACGTAGGAATTTCCCATTCAAGCCTTTACATGCGAGTGGAATTGTGCGACGCGCGATCCTTTTGTGTCTCTCTGGTTGTCCTCGTCGAAAGATTTGGACATCGTGAGAGATGAATTGGATTCGCCGTTGCCTCTTCTGCGAACTTGGCGCGGCGAAAGGAAAAGGAATCCTCTCCTCACCACAAGATGATGATGCCTTCGTCTCTACTCCTGCGCTCTGCGGGGAGAAAAAGATTCGAAGTAGGGCTCATCTCGTCGTGGTCGACGGATGATGGACTTTTCTCGCCTGCATTCAGAGCATGCTTGAACCAAAAGGCTGACGATTGGGCTCTTCACCCCCGTTTATAGGTATCGATCTCGACCGCCACCACGTGCGCAGCACGCACCGCAAGGCTCCCAAGAGCGACAATGTGTACCTCAAGCTTCTCGTGAAGCTGTACCGCTTCTTGACCCGTACGTTGAATTGGACCCAAGACCCCGCGACCCGAAAGAAAATCGACTAACCCTCTGCAGGTCGCACCGACTCCAACTTCAACAAGGTCATCCTGCGCCGTCTCTTCATGTCGCGCATCAACCGCCCTCCCGTCTCCATCTCCCGCATTGTCGGCAACCTGGACAAGGAGGACAAGCGCACCGTCGTCATCGTCGGCACCGTCACTGACGACAACCGTCTCCTGACCGTCCCCAAGCTGACCGTCGCTGCCCTGCGCTTCACCGCCACCGCCCGCGCTCGCATCACTGCTGCCGGCGGCGAGGCCATCACCCTCGACCAGCTTGCCCTCCGTGCCCCCACCGGTGGCAACACCCTCCTCCTCCGCGGACCCAAGAACTCCCGTGAGGCCGTCAAGCACTTTGGCATGGGTCCCCACAAGCACAAGGTACGATCACACTTCTTTCCGCCCCTACGCCCAGGTCTAGCGAGGGTTACTACGAGAACAGCACTGACACCCTCCGCAGAAGCCCTACGTCGAGTCCAAGGGCCGCAAGTTCGAGAAGGCCCGTGGTCGCAGAAGGTCCCGCGGTTTCAAGGTCTAAGCGTGGGTGGTATTCTCCATCATTGCTGGGATCTTTTTTACTCTGGGGTTCGGTCGTGCGTGGCCTGGTCGCGCAGGTATGGACCAGAAGCAAGAACAACGCTATCACAAGACGGGGGTGGCGTGGGGTTGAGATATCCCTCGTGTCGTCCTGTCGTGCTTTACAGGGAACACTTTTTTCTGCATGGTATGGCGTGGTTAGGTATCCAAAAAAAGAAGAATTGACGACTACGAAACCTTCTCTTAATGGCGTCGAATGGCATATCTTGGGCTTGGGTTTTTTTACCACTTTCATCTTGGACTTGGCCCTTTTCTATGAACTCGCATGTGTGATGATGTGTCTGATGAGGCGTGACTACTCCTACGCGTTCATGACGGTTGGTAAACCAGCCTCGGTAAAATGAAATCTGCCGCAACACAGAGGCATGCCCACTTCCCACCGATAAACAGGACAGTACTATTGTCCCCGCTGCCTAATACGACGACAAAATTGCCGTCGTCGGTCCTTAAATCACCCTTTCCGATTTTACACTAACTTGCATCACGTCCTAGACTCTAGCGAGTCCCATCCACATGATGACATGTAGTCACCGCAAGAATGATTCTCCCTCGGAACAACCATTCTCTGCGTTTTACCGCTACACCTACTTCCAATATTGGATGTTTGTAAGCTGTATTCACCCTGTCTCACGTTTGTATACCGTAAGTCCAGACCTTTCTGAAAAACAAATTTTGGCAAAGGTAGGATGTTTTAGGTTGCAACGATGGGGAAGAGCGGGAAGGATTTGTGACCTACAGTTTGTTCTGTAGCTTATCATTAGCCTGGTTGACCCTGATAGTCTGCCAACACTGGGGGCGGATATCACGACTCGAGTAGATTTACTCTTGGTTTTAGGTGCACTATTGACGTGAGGAGGGGCCAGTCTCTCTATCTATAGTCCTCATAATGCTTATGGATATACAGTTTTGGCCAGTTCAAAGTTCAAACTGCCAATATCTTGCTGCCGATTTGTACCTAATTTCATTATCTTTGGGCACTGCCGTAACATGAGATATCCTAAGCAGGAAACCGTACCTAGTAGACGAGGGCATGCCAGACCATAGACCATGCTCCATGGTGTGGACTATAATATACACTCACTTTAGATATCGATCTTGTTCACAACTAAACGAACCGGTGTTCCGTGCCACCGCTCAGCGATGATCCACGATCCACACGACTCATATTCATATTCCGCCTCGGCTACGTCTGTTTTCTCCTGGACACTGTTGCCTGCCAGGGACGGAAACCTGCTTTGTTTTTTCTGACAATGTTAGCCAGCTCTCTCATCATACTTTTCTCACTTCTCGGAGTGGTTGGCTTCATATTCCGAGAGGCGCCTCTTGCCTTTCTCCTCAATACCGTCAAAGTAGAACAGAGATCTTCACGGGAATCATCATAATGTAGACGGTAATCCGGCTTTAACGGGTGGAATATACACAACTCTACCTTATATGCAAGTCTGCCTGCCGGCAGTGCATGTGAATTATTCCCAGCTGCTTTATCCCGTCGGCCGTCGTCAAGAGACCGGGGTGAGACCAATCTGTTTCTGCTATGACTCTGCCGATCATTACAGCAGCTGAGCAGATGGGAACTGATCCAGGTTTGGATGAGCTCAGCTGAACTCGTATCTGCTAATGTTGACTCACTTATTTATCTGGGAGCCCCGATACATGTTCCAAATTATAAGGCATTCTACCATCAAAAACATTCATGCATTAATTTTTCTTCTCACTACAGTAAGCAGGTGATAATCGAGTGATGCTTCTCAGCTAGTATTTGAAATGCAAACCACTCAGTTACCCTTACTTACCTTGCTCCCTGATAGCTCCCTGATAAGTAGAAAGCTCCTGCCGGAAGGAACAAAAGCAACCGGTGTCTCAAGCCCAGCACTCACGCATTGCTCTTTGAAGAAGAGCTGAAGGCGGCCTGGTCGAGATGCATATGCGCCAAGCGGCTTCTTGTAGCACTCCTTGCATATATCGGACGGGCATTCGGCTCCGCGAGAGCTCGGTTGGTAGCACCTTCGCACTCGCCCGCGAATCTCACGCGTGAATGTGAGATTTATGATGCGGACAACCCGACTTGCGTCTGGCCCCAGGATACCGAGATAATTCGAGATTGGAACAGGTTTAGTGTTATCTCGAGACCATAATGTGACTTGATGGACTTGCATCCATCATCTCCCAGGTAAGCCAATACACGACTTCAGCTACGCGACAAGTCACAAATATTGATGCAATAGAATGACTACTGAGACCTCATGTTTAATCGCATAGTGTTCAGCTATCTTGTCTCACGCAAGGCCTTCTCAATGAGGGCCTCTAGTTTCTATATCTAAGGACCTGGGCTTCTTCCACCCAGCCTTCTGGTTCATACCATGCACGAATCATCTCATTCTTTGACACTTTTTGCCATGGATACCGAAACCTCCACCTGTCCTCAAGACAGCAATTCAACCGACTGTCTACTTCGAACTCTGATTCAAATTCTGGATGGAGCTCAAAAGGCCGATGACGCGAAGTACGATTGGGACCCCATAACCTTTGCCTTTACTGTCATCGTTGGTGCTGTGGCGCTTTTGTTTGCTCTGGTTCCTATCATTCAGACCATCATCGCACCTGGGCAAGGGAGCAGAACAACAAATCGCCTTGCCATCGGAGAGAAATGGTCAAAAGAGAGTACGAGGAAATGGAACTGGCGCCAATGGACATTTGAATATACTGTCATCACTCCCATCTTCCGTATGCAGACCCTGAGGAAATGGGTGCAGGCGGATATCGACAACATCGAGAAAGATTACGACGAAAACAACTTTGGGAGCGATATTGACGAGATCTGCGAAGAGAGAACCAGGAACTCGGATCCAGAAAAGCACATCGCATGTCGAAACAGCATCGATGACAAAGACACTGAGAAGGACTCCGAGGGGTTGAAAAGCGCTTTGATAACGATCCTCCGCTATTTTCTCCCACAGCAGACCTCTGTCCATTCCGAGAACAGGCCTGCTGCAACCTGGATTGACTTCTTCCGCAAAGTTGGACTGGACAAAATAGACCCTCGAGATGACTTGGGTAGACGGAAAGTCACTGCTGACTACTTGCCCAGTGACCTCGTGGCCGCTCCTGCGTACGCGCAGATTGGGGTTATTGTCACGGCCGCTTCAACAACGCCGGGTTGGGCGAAGTGGCCCACCGATCCATCATCAAACTTCCCTGTGATCTTTGGTTATGGTTTTCAGTTTGACTTCCGCCAACACCCAATACTTGGTGTTCTTGGAGCTTATTCTCAATACAGCAAAAGATATCAAGATCAAGACGGTTCTCGCAATCTCCCCGGTATCTTTGGACTTCAATGGCTGTACGACAAGACCAAGACGGGCAAAGAAGCCCTTCGGAAGAAAGAGAATAGAGAGAAGCTGTTGGCATACCACAGCCTATCCCGTCTCCGTGTGGCCATATCCCACTCACGCGCGACCATAGAGGCTGACCGGCAATCGCTTTTCAGTGTTGAGCCCAACAGCCCATTGAGTATCATCAATCTGAACACCAGCCAACACCGCGTCGAGGTATTAAGATTCATGCTGGACTTGTCCAAGAAAGATATGGATTCCGGAGCACAGGGTGCCTTCATGCTGGACTATGGGGACCTCTCTCATGAACAATACATGCCCATTGTCGGGCTGTTCCTGGCTACCACACCACGATATACGCCTACATTATTCCCTACGGACTTGCTGAGCAAAAGGCCTCCACTCACGACTCTCGCCCTGAACGGACACTTCTGGACGAATGTCACAAGAGAAAGCGTCAAAGGAGATGACATGTCCGATTGGCCTGCGTCGCTTCAGACCTCGGACTGGGACCAAAACGTCATTCAATGGGTCAATGATGGAATGGATGAAATGGGAAGGGTCAAAGGCGAAACCCTCGAGGCAGTCTTCAAGGAGACTAAACGATCAATCTACCACCACTTGCAGTGTCAGGGAGTGGGCGCAACGAAGCCTGCTGTTGGCCTCAAGGTTGTACTTCACCTATGCATGAAGCTGCTTCACAACGACGAGACCTTTCGAACCTGGTTTTCCAAATATCATCCAGCAGTCGCAGCATACTTGAGACGCATCATTCATCTGCAACTCCAACTGCTGGATCGCTGGTTTCTGAAATCCAGCCACAACACAGCGTCCATTCAGTCTCGCGCAATTCGCATTTGCAACACGACTCTCGTGTTGATGCTAGCGGAGGAGAAGGCACCTAGGAAAGATGACTCGATCAGTTCGGTTCTTGATGAACCAGACCAGACTGTCTGGCATCTCCACTCTCACACACTCGAATGGATCGAAGACTTGATGAACTCCATTGGCCTCACTTCGGAAACTCTCAACGGCACAAGGAGCGACTGGAAACCAGAAAGGAGCTTTGATGCCAAGAGACACTCAATCAAGAACACTGGAACTCAAGAAGAAGACTCTGATGAGATCTTGGTACCCTTGGCTGCACAGATGAAGCCGCGCGATAAAGATCTGAAGTATCTTGCATGCGCTCATTACAACAAGAAGTGGGAGCTGTTGAATACTCATCAGATGTTAGACAGGTTGGACAAGGTGGCCTCATCCAGAGCCGACAGCTCCTATCGGAAACGGCGATTTCATCAACGTGATGGAGGAGATGAGGCTAATGAGAAGACAACTGACGACATGATCATTTTCCGCTGTATTCTCATAGCATTACTTTTTCAGACAGCTCCAGACAACGCAGCGCTCATCAAATCGGGGGTTTGGGAACAGGTTGTGGCTATTGTCTAGGGAACAGAGAGTTAGGTGCGACGAGTAAGGACTGACGCTACGATACTTGTGACTTACTGTCTGCAATGAGCGTACCGACGACTTTTATTCAGGAGTTTTGAAGAAGATAACATATAGCTAAAACTCGTAGATATCGTTACTGGTCTCCGTAAAGAGCTCATTGGAGATTTCCTCACTTATGATGATGATGATGGCTCATCCAGGAGAATCTGGCAGCACATTCGTACACACAGTATTTCTGAGTGGTACTTCCTGATTCTCAGACTTAATCCGGACTCCAATGGGTAGGCGTCAAAGGATCAAGGTATAAGTAAGTATTGAGTCCATGAATCCAGCTACAAATTGACAGAGGCCTTGGTATCATTCCTCCGCTCACGGAGAGATCACTCAAGAAAAGACTCAAATCCACTCGATAAAAACTCCTTCTCGTCCCGTCTTCCCTAGACTGCTCCCGCTACCGGCTGATCCATCAAGAAATCAAAGCAAGCCCCTCACAAGTTCGACCGACCCAGCGTGGTCCAACTCATCAAGCAGACCCTAGAAGCAACTCTCCCGCAGTAGCCTCTACCAACCGAAAGGCCGTTTTCGGTAGTAGCATCTTGCACTTGGGACACATGGGCTCCTTTTTCCTCAGAGTACTCTCCGTCAACTTCTGAAAGAGACATCGTTTCCCAATAAAACACTGGCACTTCTTCATCCGCACAATCGGCTCTCCACGGTGACAACCGCGAGTGCCATGGTCAAAGGGCTTGAACATGGCACCGGGGGAGTGATCGTAGTACTTCTTGTTGCAGACGGGACACTCGAGACGCGCCGGTCCCTCCCAGTCGTCTACGTCCTCCGCTACGGAATCGATCAGAGCCCGCCTCGCCTTGTAGGCGATGACTTCCGAGTTCCACTCTTGGCGGCGATCGTGGTAGTACTTCTGGATCAGCTGGACGAAGTACATGAACGGTTTATGCGGCAACGACGCCTTGTCTGTCGAGCTTGCAATCTCGGCGAGCTTGTCCAGCCCCGGGATGGTCGACGGGCCGCGAAACACCAGGGGCATGATGATACTGCAGAGCACTGTCACCGCGAGACTGAACCGGCTGTTGGAGATGCCGTTGTCATGCAAGAGAACTTCTGCCATGAACTTGACCAGGTTGGCGCGCCTCGACATGGCGCTCGTCTCTAGGGTATGCGCACCAGTCCACCCCGCGCCGTATTCTGCGTTCTGCAAGACCAGTGCCGACGCCTGCTGCATGTGGTCACGGATATTCTCGTCCAGCGTCTTGCGACGGTTTTTGATGAGGTAATTCGAGAATAGAGGCTGGTGAGAAAGTCCGCCCCTGAAGTAGAGCTTCTGCGCTTGACAGAAGCCAGAGAGCACGGTATGTCGGAATCTGAACAGGTTCTGCATGGCAGGGTTCTGTATGCGAGGATCCGACTCTGCCTTTTCCCCAGCCATATCCGTGAGGTACTTGCGGGCCGCCGTGGCCGGGTTGTAGTAGAACGCCAGCGGGCCGTTCGCCTCGCAGGAGCAAGCGCCAACGCGGTGGTCGTTCTCCTTACACCGGCGCTCCATGAAGAAGGCCCGGAACCACGCCTTGCTCATCTCCTCGTTCGTGACCTCGCTGGAAGGGAATCTGCTCCGGATCCAGAGAAGGACGGAGTGGGAGTACTCGGTCATGTAACTCTGGGCCCAGGCGTTGTCCTGGACGTCGTCGCGGTGCCACTCGTCGTGCGAGGGGGTCACTCGGGGCACGGCGGGGGTCTCACCCGAGCAGCCGGGGCACATGTAGACGTAGAAGCTGGTGCGATTTTCCCATTGCTGAGCCGGGCAGGGGAAGATGTGCGAGCAAAGGATGTTGGCTATGACGCGGTGACGTCTCTTGGGGGCATCAGGACGCGGGCTGGCTGGGCAGTTGTAGAACTGTAAGTGTTTGATGCACATGGTTGCAGTCGATGGCGTATAAAGGATGACTTGTTGCTCGTCTTTGAAGATTTGAAGCCCGCTTTCAAATTGGATGATGAGTCGACAACGACAATGTCTGGTCGTTATTCATCTCTTAAGTTGACACCCGCGGCTTTGTATTATTTTGTTGGGCAGCAGAGCATTTCCAGGGGGCGAGCAAAGTCCCAAAGATATCCATTACTGACAGGAATGACAACAACTGAATTCAGAAAATTGCAGACTGTTCCTTCAAAGATGGCAGAGCTCTCGACAGATTCGGCGTGGCTTTGTGTCACTCTCGACGTTGACCTCCCTTTCTCACAGTCGTCCGGAAATAGGGCCATTGTGGACTCGTAGACAAAGGAGGAGGCTGGTATTCAACGCTCACAATTGGAAGAGTAAGGGACATTTGACTGTGTTGAGAAAATAGCGATGTGGTTGAAATAAACCATCAAGTCCTCAACTCCTGGCGCTCAAGAGAACCGTTTGACTGATGAGAGTGTAAGAGGACTTGTTGTGTGTTAGGTGGTCTATGAAACCCACCTCGCCCATCAGTAGCCCCTTTTGACATTCTTCATGTGAGTTAGAAAGCTATGAGGTAGATATCTAGGGTGAAAAGCCTGTAGGCGGGGGGGATATTCACGACTTGTTATACATGGATTCATGAGACCAAGCATCTAGATGGTTAGTCAAGGAGCCCAACGCCCTCACAGTCTCTGGGCATTTCCACTTAACACGACATCGACATCAAGAGTCTACTGTGATTGGCGGCTTAAATCCAGCGCAGTCTGCGCTTCGAGAGTCGACAAATAGTTCGAGTTCTGCATCATCGCGGCGCAGTAAGTGAACTAATCCCCAACACCGATCTCCAGCCGACGGTCTGGAATGGCGGCATAGTGGAAAGGCCCGAAGCCTTCTTTCAAGGCTCGCGACAACAGACCGCTGGATCAATGTTTCCCAGCGAGTCGAGTCAATTGCCTCGACATAGTAGGCAAGTTTGCGTCTCATCGGCTTTAGTATTTGCAGAAGCCAAGTACTGTGTCGTCAAACTATCCTCACGGAGCCCCTAATAAATCCCACACGATCAAGTTTGCAGTCTAGGATTGATAGTAGTGTTTGCTTCGAGGTACAGGGATATCCCCTTAGCGAAAACGAAATAGTTTGCCAAGGCTTTGTCGTCGAGGTCTACTCACTTACGTGGCCCGCGATCCCCGTTGCTTGAGCCAACATCGATGCATGCGGTGCCAGCCGCGATCGAAAATCGCCGATGTATCCTTGTCCGAGATCGTGTCTTTTGTGAGGTCAAATGTTTCGGCACCCTATCCTGTGTTATAACGTGCGAGATCCGAGATACTGGGACGATCAGACGGCGTGGGTGCCGGGTGTCGACATGTTGGATCCCACTGGACTCCATTTGCAACGTCAAGCTGCAAGTGATGGGGCTCTTTGACCCGACGAAGGGAAATCCATCACCAATGATGGCATAGAGTTCGACTACAACATATTGATGGAATACTTAGACAACCCGTCTGCATAAGTTGGCTTTGCTCATGCGACTGTTGACTGCCCGACTCTCCTCTCGCATCTCGCTCTCAGTCTAGAACTTGGCATGGCGCTGGTCCCAAAGTAGAACACTTGTTTGGCCACGACCAACAGGTATGTTCACCACATGAGATTGTTTGCTCGCGCCACTCACACAGTCGTGCTTCTCCCCCGAGCCTCCTACTTTCTTCGTTTCTTGCGCAACTCGCAGGGGAGGTAGAGAATACGATCCCTTGCGTTCGGCGAAAGTCCATGTTCCTTGTCCTCCATCGCCGAATGCTCACCTTCATATAGAAACGCCAAACGTCCCTAGCAGTAACACAATGTAGCCTGAACCTCCCTTTGATCTGCGTTTCTGCCCTGCTCTATTCTTTCTTTCCTCCTCCCTACCCTCCCAATACAGACCGGGAATGGTCGCGTTTCCAGACACTGCCAGCTCCCTCTCGTCAGGTTGTACCATCGTCGGGAACCTGGTGGTATCAGCCTGCATACCGTCAACAATGTCACCACACCCGCAGCCCGACCCCAACGCACCACTCTTCGGCGTCGCCCACAACGTCTCTCGTCCGGCCTTGACGGCCTACACCTGGGCCAACGTCGCCACATCGTACATCTTCCTCTCCCTCCGCCTCCTCGTCCGCTGGCGCCGGAACCGGCACCTCCTGCGCGACGACGTCTGGATGGTCTTTGCCTGGGTGTGTCTCCTGACCATGGCCGTCCTCCAGATGCAGCAGATGGACTCGCTGTGGTACGTCGTCGAGCTCGAGGCGGGTAGGTTCGTCCCCGCGTCCGAGGAGGAGGCGGAGTTGCGGCTGGAGCAGTGGTTGCGCTGGTCGTATGCGTTGACATACCTCTTCTGGACGGGGTTGTTCGCGGTGAAAGCGAGTTTTTTGAATGTGTTTTTCAGACTTGTCAGTCCCATTCCGTGGCTACGAAAGATCTGGTATGGGATTGCCGTGTTTTGTCTCCTTGCGTATATCGGGGGATGGCTTTCGGGGTCGCTCATTTGTGATACTCCGTCCGACTACTTTCGGGCAGGTAAGTTGACTCCTAAACCCGCGGTAAAAATCTTTTGCATCTCATTTTTGTAACAGGAAAATGCCTCTCCCCAAAGGAGGTCTACTTCTACCGCTTCTCGATCTTCTTCTCAACAGCAGCCGACGTCTTCACAGACCTGCTCATCATGAGCCTACCTATCGCCGTCCTCCCCTCGCTCCAACTCGACTTCCGCAAAAAGTTTGGCCTCGCGGTAGCCTTCTGCCTGGCCCTCATCACCATCCTCACAGCCATCGTCCGCATGACGCAGGTGCTCAAGGGCAAGACGGTGGACATGGTGGGCCTGGCCGTCTGGAGTCTCACCGAGCTCGGCACCGCCATCATCGTGGGATCGCTGCCGCCGCTAAAGGCTCTCTTGACGCGTGGGATGAGAAAGTACAACGGGAGCAGGACGAACCGCAACAAGTCGTACATCAACTGCAGAGGCGAGCCCGGTAACACATACGGCCCGAATAACACGTCGCGGTCCGTCATGGTTGCTGAGTCGATCCCGTTGGATGATAGGCATAGAAGCGAACAGTTTGATGGAGGGATATATGTTCAGAAGACATGCGAAGTTCGCGTAGAGGGTGCTTCGAAGAGAACGAATGATGAGGAAGAGGGAGTTGTGACGAAGAGTTTTGCTGCAAACAGACCTCCATAGACTTCAAAGAATTCTCTATTGAGACTATGAATGATTACAAGGACACCACGGCCTACGACAGGTAAGATGAATAGAAATTATATTTAGGTCGATGCATCATTCTGTAATGCTGATTGTAGCTCTGTGTAGATGATATGGCGTCTTTGGTGAGAACGCCCAGTCGTTCGCCAGCCCGTCTCAAATTCGACTTGCTGCCCGGCTTGTGTAAAAAAAGAAATGGACTGAAAAAAAAAGTAATAATGCGAATGCAGGCGCGGCGTAAAGCAGTAGGGTATCTTCAGCTCCCATCCTCAACTATGCCCAGGTTCTCTAAACGCCAATTGTGTTTGTTTGTATACCCAAGAAAATTCGACAAAAGAAATAAAGGATAGCGCCTGTATCTCTGAAATGCAGTAGACCATGCTCATACCGAACCACGCAGTCTCACTCTTCCAATACCTCTCGCAGTGCATCGACGTCCACCTGGTCAGGTGACACTTTGCTCGGAGGACCGCGACGCTGATGAGCCGCCAGGTATTCTTGGAAACCGGGTATAGCACCGGCTTGGTTGATGCCCGGCGGTCTGAGGAATTCCTTTTCCTTCTGCTTCTCTTTTCCGCTACGTTGCGCTGGTGTCGGTGTGGGCGGTGCCTGCGTGGGTGTTGTGGCCCGGCCTGCTGCCGCGCCGGTCCATGGCCTCCAGCTGACCCATCGACCTATTCCTCCAGAGTTCTGTGAACCTTGGGAATGGGTGCTTGCTGGCGAAGCACTTCGAACCGGAGTGGAAACCATCCTTGACACCGGTCGCCCTGCCAGACTGTCGCGAAGCAAGGCGTCACTCCGTCGATCGCTGCCTCTCGATATCGTCGACCGTGCCGTAACTCCAGTAAACACCGCATCGGCCCCACCCAGAGGACGAAGGGTCAATTGACTCGGTCGTACTTTGAGTGTGTGAATGTCCAGACCTCCCGACAACGACATGATTGACTCGTGGGAGACGGCACGGTGCAAGCCTCGCCGCGGTAGCTCTTCATCCTTGGAGAATGAGATTTCTGTCTCGGTCTCGGTCTCTGTCTCTCCGTGGTCCTCGTGAGAAGTGAGCAACCCGGGCACCTCTTCACCGCTGTGATCCTCTCTCTCTTCCTCAATCGTAGACGAAATAGGCTGAGAGACATGTACTGTCGGGGCAGCTGGTGGCGCTGGCGAACCCAAGTTCAGGAACTTTGGAGGTACAGAGAAGCTTCGAATTGACGCCTCGGAAGGGCGCTTGTGGTGAGAGACTTTCCATGTAGGCGACGTAGGATCCAGGCTGGTTGTCGGAGACATGGGTATGTCCGTCTCCAGCATTGGGCGGTCGAACATGGAAAGACGAGGATTTGACTGAGGCGAACTAGGGACGGACGACGGAGCGAACTCAGAGGGTTGCTCCGAGAAGACGGACCACCGATTCGAAGGCGGCATCGAAACTGTTGACGTTGATCCCGTGTGAGAATGCGAGGCCCTGGGGGTCACTGGTGAGGGGCCGGGTCGCCACACGGCCGGAGGAGGGGTGGAGGATCGCGAGACGCTGGCGGGGGAGAAGATTGCCGGGTTCAGGCTGTGGCGCTTCTTCTTCTTGTTCTTTTCGGCAACATGGTAATGGTGGTGAATATGGACTTGCTGGGAAATATTGTGCTGTGTCGTCTCAGTCAATTCCGGCCCGATTTCAGCGCGCAAGGTCGACGCAGCGCTGGTGTCTTCCTCCCCGATGGGCTGGTGACACATGAGCTGGTCCCGCATGGCCTGGATTTCGTCGTTCGAGTTGAGAAGCATTTCTCGTAACTCGGCCATGCCCAGCTGCAGATTAGCATTGTCCTGCAGCAAGTCTCGGACAAAGTGAGATACCACGTTGGTGGCGGGTTTCCCGTTGGTGAGCGACTTGGTGGCGGCAGCTCCCTTGAGGCGTCCGGCAGCAAGGTTCAGTTCCTTTTCCATCTCACGCTGGCGCTCCACACGGCCCAAAACCTCGGCATGGCGTTCACGCTCTTCCTTGGCCTCCTTTTCCATACGCTCCAGCTGTTCCTGAAGGTCGAAGATACCCCTCTCGGCCTTTCTCCATCGCTGCATGGCGGAGCGGGCCTCGGATTCGGTTGTGATTAAGGTATTTTGCAGCCGCAATTGCTCCTGTTCGAGAAGCGCAATATGCCTCTCCATCTCCGCCGCACGAGCTGCCGCGCCCTCGAGACGCCGCACTGCTTGGTGAGACGACAGTAGGGTAGCCTCAAGGGTCTGGATGCGGATATCGGAATCCTGAACCGTGTTGTTGAGCATTTCGAGCTGATCCAGTAGGGTACGGTTCTCTTCGACGGTCCTCGCGTTCTCGGCCTGTAATTCCACCTTTTCGTTTTCCAACTGCTCTATGCGGCTCGTAAGGGACATGCGATCTCGTTCGGCATCAGCCATGTACGCCTCATGACGAGCAAGTAGGGCCTGGAGAGGGAAGATCAGCGACATGGTGCCATGTGCAGCGAGAGAAGACAACGGTGCATTTGGGACGATTCGCAGAGGTTTGGTATCGAACGCAGAGTTTGCGGGCTGGAACGGTGCCGGGACTCCCCATCTTGAAGTTAATCACGGGAAATGAGGTGTTGGAATGTCTCGAGAGATTGGCACGGGCTTGGGGAGCGGCACGGCTGGAATGTTTCGACGGGTGAGGGAGAGAAGGGAAAAGCTAGAAAAAGAAGAACGAGGACGCACCTTGCCCAACTTGGCGGCGGTATGGACATCCTTTTCGACCGTTTCGAGCACGGAGCAGCTATGCTTCAAATAAGCACAATCGTTGCGACCGCAGCAGCATCGCATTCTGGACCCCTCGTCCGGGCGGGGAGCGGAAGTTGAGACGAAGTCTGCCATGGGATCGGCGTCGCGAGGACGGGCGTCATCGGTGTTGCGGACGGTGTCGGTGTAGTCGTCGGTGAAGTGGGTGTCTGCCGTGTATCGGTAGGCCGTGTTGTTCAGGTCGAGGTCTGCTGCGTCGTCTTGTTCTGGGTCTGCATCTGGATCCGGTGGTGTACGGGTCCCGAGTTCTGCCATCGTTATTGCGGCAGAGTCGTCGCCACGGCGGACAGCATGCTGAGGGCCCAGAGGCGAAGGCACGGACGTTGGGATCGGGGCTCAGGGTGCCGGTCTGGGTCGAGCTAGTCAGGCAGAGAGCTGAGCGAGAGCGGGGAGGACGAAGTTATCCGTAAAGGGACTGTTCACGAGAGACGACTGCGGGAGGGGGGTTTCTCTCTTTTGTGAGTTGTGCGAGCCAGAGAAGGCGGGTTTATGTTGAAGTTGTGACTGTGTGTGTGTGTGGGTGTGGGTGCGTATCGTTGGCACTCTGTGCTGTACGATTCGTACATAGGTATTATTATGGCCGTTGAGTTGGCGGCCGGTGACGCGATTGGGCTCTTGGAGGCCACCTGCAGCGAGGAGGGGACTGTATTTCCCAAGGTGTGATTCTTATCGCGATGGACTGAACGCCTAGGCGCGACTTGGACCGGTTCTTTGAGCTTGCTGACGGGGGGTGACAAGGGTGTCCGTGGTGTCTTGGTGCCTCTTCACTGGAGAAGACAGGCCCTGGTCGCAGTGAACGGTCTGCAGCAGCGCAAGATGACAGGGGACAACCCAGACCAGCGGGGGTCGACTGCAGTTTCTTTTGAGAGCATGTGGTCCGAGCCGAGATTGGGCTCATATAAAAAATTGGAAGAGAAAAAAAAATTGTCGAGAGGATGACGATGGAGGGTTGGGTTCATAGGTGTGTCGCAGTAAGTAGGTAGCCTATTAGGACGATGAATGGCATCTATCTGCAAGCCTGGTTCGATCAAAGACGTAGTCGACGAACAGTGAGTAGAGACCAAAGGAGGGAGAAACAAGATGACGGCGTAGGGATGGTCATTTCAGGTCGGATGGGAGTTGGGACGAATACACGGTAGAGGGGTTGGAACTTGAAGGGGAGTGGAGGGTAAGGTATGAGAGAAGGTCAAGGATGCGGTGCCGGGCCTAGATCGGAAAAAAGAGATGGGTAAGAGAACCAAAGAAAGAGAACGGGAAAGGTGAGGTACCTGGATCAGAGACAGTTTCCATTGATGATTGTATGCAATCTAAAGGTATTTTCATGTACCTTTCCTTTGCCCAAAAAAAGACATACAAGAAACGTTCGCGTCAAGCCAAAAACAACAGGTGCAACCTTTGCAGGTCGAACTTCTTGCCGTGCTTGCCCAATCTGGCCCAATCTGCGGTAGCGCATCCTCAGTGCTCCACTTGATACCCGCCAATCCAGGAACACTTCACCTACCTACCTTGCCCAAGGTACATAAGGTACGGTACCAAGGTACCTAGACGACTGCCCCACCCGCACGAGGCACCTTACCTACACAGGCACGTGCCACCTCAGGTACTCTCGGTACGTATTCCGTTTCTCGAGACTTTCCCCCCTCCCTCCCGTCCGACTATCTGGTGCCTCACCTCACCTTGCCTTACCTTACCTTGGCACCATACCCAGGTGAGGAAACATGTCAAGGCCAGCTGCCACAGAGACATTCACTCGCAGCGAATGAAACATGTCTGGCCCTGCCACGATGACGACAGACCTCACCCTCTGCTTGCAAGCAAGCTGGAACTTGGAAGCACCGCAGGTGGTGAATTGGCCAGTCATCTAAGGTCCTGTGACCAAATAAAGACTCGCCCAAACACTGGCCGCATCTTGACGGCCAGCGCACCAACACACCACCAGCCACCACAATATCTTTTAACCGTCTTTCAGAACGACTCGACCAGATAATTACCAAGGTAGGCTAGCTAGCATGTGGATGGTACGTTTACAGGCCGGGACGATCTGGAAAGGGCTGTCCTTGTGTGGGCGCCGTCAACAAGTAAGAAGTTGATCGGCGTTTGCTCGAATCGGGATGCCCCCGCGAAAAGCCTTCATTCCTGAGTCGAGACGTGTAAACTGACGCGAGACCGCGTTATTTGACAACAAGTAAACATGGCGATCGCAAACCTTTTCAAGTCAACTATGGAGGGATATACCAAGAGTTTTTCAACGCTGACCTTTCGCTACTAATTGCAGCAAAATGTCCCTTCAACACCAAAGGTACCTTACTTCAAATCCTTGGCGGGCCCATGACTGGTCTATCAACTGGGATGGCTATACTACGCACACGAGGACGAGATAACAACTCCGATCTACTCGGTAATTAGTAAACCCGCAAATGAGTCTATAATAGGACACACACAAGCCTCGTGCTATTGAATTCGACATGAAGAGAATGATAAGATGACCATGGTAAAAAATGCATCGTGATCCATCATCCACCATCACTTTCGGGGTTGGTTCCCAGACTGGCGGTTCGCCTGCCTGTCCCGGGTACCTGCACTGGAACTTAAGGTACCTCCACTGTGCTCCGTAGCCTGCGAAGGTGTCTGCCTGAGGTGGTCCGGCAGCGTACCTGACGCCGCTGTGGGACCCCCCCACCGGCCCGGCACAACGACCCCACCCGCATACCACTTTCGGCTCACCACAGACGTCAATTCAGGAACGCCGAGTCCCAAAAACCACCGTTGCCTCAACCTCCCGTCTGCCGCACCGCACCGCACCGCATCCCCGTTCGAGGTCACATCCCGATACACCCACGGGGACAACTTTTCAGAGCGGCCATTCTCTACCTAAAGCCACTCAATCACCGGATGACGGAACAATGGCACCTTCCAAAGAACCTGCGTCTTTGTCTTTCCCGGTACCAACCACCACGGACGCCAGCAAAACTGTCGTCCGCGGAGCCTCCCTTCTCATCATCCTCCAAATCGGCTCCCGCGCAGTCACCTTTATTGCAAACCAGCTTCTCCTCCGCTTCCTGACTGCCCGCCTTCTCGGCGTCTCGACACAACTAGAGGTTTATTACCTTTCGGTGCTCTTCTTCGCCCGAGAATCCCTGCGCGTTGCCGTCCAGCGCCAGGAAACCCAAGGCAATGCCGCACGTCATTCCTCCAACAGCAAAAAGGATGACAACCCAAAAGCTCGCATAGGCCGAGAAAGCCAGGCCGTCATCAACCTGGGCTACCTAGCCGTCCTCCTTGGCCTTTTTGTCACCATCGGCCTCGGATGGTTGTACCTATCCTCCGTCGACTCGTCCACCGCCCATACGCCAAACTTCCTCCTCGCTCTCCGGCTCTACGCCCTGGCCGCTATCCTTGAACTCCTCTCGGAACCCTGCTTCGTTCTTATGCAGACCCGCCTACGCTTTGGCACCCGCGCCACCGCCGAGTCCATCGCGACCTTTCTCCGATGCACCGTTACCTTTGCCACCGCCTTTTGGGCTTCCAGGGCTGGCGTCGAGTTCGGCGTGCTCCCCTTCGCCGTTGGCCAACTCTCCTACGGCGCAACTCTGCTGGTGGTCTATCTTTCGTCCGCATCCCGCCTTGCCCGTGCAGATGGCTTCTCTCTCCTCCCAAAGAGCCTCGCCTCCACATCTGGTGGCGGAGGAGAGGACTACCTCGCCTCCTACTTTTACCGTCCCACCGTCAGTCTAGCCTCCAGCATGACAGCCCAGAGCCTCGTCAAGCACGTCCTCACACAAGGCGACACCTTTCTCGTCTCGGTCCTGTCTACCCCCAAATCTCAGGGTGTCTACGCGCTGGCCAGCAACTACGGAGGCCTCCTGGCCCGTCTCGTCCTCCAGCCCATTGAGGAGAGTAGCCGCAGCTACTTCAGCCGTCTGCTCTCCTCCCACGACGCCAAGACCAAATTGTCACCGTCCACCAAGGACACAGCAGCAGCAGCAGCAACTACGGCAAGCCAGCACCTTCACACCCTTCTCAAATTCTACATCCTCCTCTCCTCAATCATCGTGAGCATCGGCCCCGTCGCCGCGCCACCGCTTCTCTCCCTCGTCGCAGGCCAACGCTGGGCGTCCGAGGGCGCAGGCGACGTCCTGGCCGTCTACTGCTACTACCTGCCCCTCCTCGCACTCAACGGCGTATCCGAGTCCTTTGTTGCCTCCGTGGCCTCCGAGGCCCAGGTCCACCGCCAATCCGCCTGGATGGGCGCCTTCTCCGTTGCCTTTGGCTCGGCCGCCTTCTTCTTCATGCGCGTCATGGACCTCGGCGCCCAGGGCCTCGTCTACGCAAACTGCATCAACATGCTGTGCCGCATCGTGTGGAGCCTCGCCTTCACCAAATCGTACTTTGCAGGGTTGGAAACGCCGTTTGAACTCTTTTCGCTGCGGCCTAACGCCGTCACCTCTATCGTCTGTCTATCGGCGCCGCACCTCATCAGGAGGGTCGCCGGTGTTGCCTCGGCGGGCGTGTCTACTTCCCCGTTCAAGGACATCATCGCCATCGGCCTAGCCGCCGTTCCCGTCGTACTTTTGATGTAAGCTTTTCCCCGCCCCATGTGATTCGCGCCGCTCTGGCCTTTTGTGTGTGTGTGTGCTTTTCTTCCCCATCTAACGTGACCTCAGACTCTTTGCCGAACGCAGGTTTCTCCTGCAATGTTACAACTCGGCACGCAAGCCGAAAGCAGCGTAGGCGTAATTACCTCGGGGCGTAAACAGAACATGTAGAAATCCTCCCGAGAAGCCAAAAAAGAGATCGAAAAAATAGTAACAAATCAGTCAAACGTAATCTTGGTCGCCTTCTTCGTCATGTCAACGTCCTTGAAAAAGGCGCCGTAGGTGCTGTGAGCCTTCTTCTTGACGGTCGTGCCGAACTTGAAGAGATCATCGGGGACCTCTTGCTTGGCACCCTTGAGGATGTTGATCAAACTAGTCAACTTTGTTAGCAAACCATGTCCATACTGAGTGAGTTTTGATTATTCAGGGCGCAGGGTGACTCACGATCCAGAGTGTGCCTTGTCGTGCTCGGTAAACAGGGTGATCGCCTCGCCAGTCTTGCCAGCACGGCCAGTACGTCCAATTCTGTGAACGTAGTCCTCAATCGTCAAGGGGAACTATCAAAAAAAAAAAAAAAAGAGTTAGCTTGAATACTCGAAAGCGACGTCCAAAAACACAAAAAGACTCACAGTCACGTTGACAACCAGCTTGACCTCGGGGATATCCAAGCCACGGGCAGCAACATCAGTAGCGACCAGAACGGGCGTGGTACCAGCCTTGAAAGCCTCCAAACTCCTCGTGCGCTGCTCCTGGCGCAGGTCGCCGTGGATACCACCGACGCGAATGCCGCGCTGCTGCAAAAAGGTCTCGACGCGCGTGGCCTCCTTCTTGTACAGGCAGAACACCAGGATACGATCATCCTTCTTGGCGCCCGTCTGCCACTGCTTGAGGATCTGCAGTAGCCTCTGCTCCTTGGCGCGCGGGTCGACGACCTCGACGCGCTGCGTGATGCGCGTGTTGGCCTGCAGCTCGACGGCGCCGTTGGCCGTCTCTTTACCGCTCGAGCCAATGGTGATCTTGACGGGGTCCACCATGAAGGACTCGGCGAGCTTGCGGACCGACGCGGGCCAGGTGGCGGTGAACATGACCGTCTGGCGCTGCTCGCGCGGCGGCATGTCGCCGAGGATGAGCTTGATGTCCTCCTCGAATCCCTTGTCCAGCATGCGGTCGGCCTCGTCGAGGACGGCGAACTTGACCTGGCTGAGGGAGATGGTGCCGTCCTGCATGAAATCCTTGAGGCGGCCGGGGGTGGCGACGATGACGTCGGCGCCGCGGTTGAGGAGGTTGCGCTGCTCGTCCTTGGAGGCGCCGCCGTAGATGCAGATGCTCTTGAGGCCGAGCAGGCTGGACACGTGCTCCATCTGCTCCTGGGTCTGCATGGCCAGCTCGCGGGTCGGGGAGACGACGACGGCCTTGATGGCGCGCTTCTTGATCTTGGAGATACCCTCGACGAGCGGCAGGGCGAACGCCATGGTCTTTCCGGAGCCCGTCTCGGCGACGCCGATGACGTCCCGGCGGGAGAGGGTGTAGGGCCATGAGGCGGACTGGATCGGCGTGGGCTTCTTGTAGGCGGAAAAGGGGTTCTTCTTGACGAGGTCGGTCTTGGGGAGGTGGGCGAACTCGAGGATGGAGCGGAGGGCGGCGTTGCTTGTTATCGGATCGGTGACGGTGATGTTCTCGGCGGCCAGGAAGGCGTCGAGGTCCGATTGGGGCAGGGCCTTGAGCGCCGCGACCTCCTCGTAGCCACCGAGGATGGAGGCGGTGGGAGTGGATGCGGTGGCAGCGACGGCGGGAACGGCGGATGTACCGTTGCTCTCGGCCTCCTTGGCCTCCTTCTCTTTCCTCTTCTTCTCCTTCTTCTCCTTCTTGAGTCTCTTCCTCTCGGCCTTGTCCTCCTCGGTCTCCTCCTTGGACTCGGTGGTAGCGGCCGGAGCCTCCTGATCCTCCTCGACCTCAGCAGTCTTGGCCTTCTTCTCCTTCTTGCGCTCTTTCTTCTCCTTCTTTTCCTTCTTCCTCTGCTTCTTCAGCTCCGCCGCCTCATCGCTGTCGACGTCGCCACCCGCGGCGAGGTCCTTCTTCTGCTTCTTGCTGGTGACACTGGCCTCGGCCTCGGTGTCGGCGAGGGAGCGCTTCGTGGCGGCCATTGTTGCGATTGGTTAACGGGGATTGACGCAACAATTGATTTGCAGGGAAATTTGCCGTGAGAAGCAAAGACTCTTTGGGGGGTTTTTCGGTCAGGTCGCAAATGTCAAAGGGCGGGAGGAAGGGCAAAAAAAAAGAATTTTGTTTATCGATAGGCTGATAACGGTGCTTCCGCAATGCGACGCGATAAGGCGATAAGACGCCGAGTATCAGATAACCGGAGGACCCTGCGCTAAGCCGATTTAGGCCACTGGTCTCCGCTGGCCCTCGCCGTTCCAGAATCGGAGGCCCAGGACCCACTCCGGCCCTTCACACTCCAGGATGGCTCCACCGTCCCCCGCCTTACACGTCCGCTTCACCTTCACTCGACAGCTTCCCCTCACGTCCGCCCACATCGGATGCCAGCTGTCGCTCTCGCCTAAGATCGAAAAGCTGTTGCCTGAGCCTCTCGGTCTGCAAAGCATTCCTTTAGACATTCCTTCACATGCGGCAAAGTGCTAATGCGAACGGCTGCATGATGCCCCTGGCTAAGGAACATATCGCGACGGCTGGGCTCGGTCAGCTTACAACACTTGTTTCGACAAGACGAGGTACTTTCGTCGCACTCTTATCCTACGCTCAAGTGAGCGCTATGAATGAGACAAAGTTCAGAGACCCGATGGATAGAGCTATCCTCAAGAAGTCTTGATTGTGGATACAGTAACCTGCGGCGTCGGGAGCATCCCAGGAGATGAAGCAAGCGAGGCCCAACAGCACGACGTTGATGGACGGCACGTAGGAAAAGACACCAGTGGGCCACAAAAAGGTCGGGTTCCGGCCGCGGGCATCGCGGCCAAACATGACCAACCAATAACTCACGCTTGGCGTCAGCAAGACGGCCCAACCCTGCAAAGGCGGGAGCTAAGCATCTTCTGCTTCTTTTCTTCGAGGCATTTCTGCAGCCAGCTAGCGAGGAGACTACCAACGTACAGATCTGTCGTCCAACCCTGCGGCATCCCGCTCCTCTCCCAATGGGGTTCATCGTGGTGCCACATGGGGGGATGACAGTCGAGTATCAACCGTGCCGCGGGGGACGGGGGTGACGAGTGGACGAGGGGGGCGGGAGAGCACATCATACTGCAAGAGGCAGTCCGTTCAGGGTCCAGCCATTGGCGATGTGCTCCGTCACACACAGCTGACTGCGGCGTTGACCCCTGTAGCTGCCTTTCTTGATAGCTGCCCACGTTGCATGTCGACGCTGGCAATGCGGTTTTTGTTGCGGAGGAGGACGTAGGCGAGAAGACGCAAAGGGAAGCGGATAAGAACAGAGAGAAGAAATATAAAAGGTATGAGGAGACAGCATACCTCGACAGAGGGCCACCTCCCTGCTCCCGCCCCTTTCCCGCTCCCCGCCTTCAACATCAGCTACACATCCAGCCATGGCAAGCTGCCAGGTGCAGGGCGAGCCCGACCTCTACGGCCTGGGTATTCGCGTCGCCTTCTACATCCAATGGTTCGGCGCCATCGTGATAGAGTACCTCGACATGTCAGACCTCCCCGACATGCGCCTCATAGGCCTTCTCTTCTCCGCCGCAGCCTTCCTCGGCCTCGTCATACGGCTCTCCGTCGAGGCGAGGAGTGTACAGCCGGCCGACGTCTACATTGTCCTCCTGCTCGCCATGGGCATCTACATCCCCCTCGTCCCGCTCTACCTCTGGAAGGCGGCGACGTGCTTCAACCGGTATTGGGATCCGTTCCGCTGGTCCAAGGAGACGCCGAGCCCGGCGTATAAGGGGCTTAATTTCACGTTGTTGCTGGCTATTTCGTCGCTGGGCGTGTGGTATTGGTGTTCTTTTGTGCCGGAGAATGATTGTTCGTCGGAGCAGTACGGGTTCTTCTTCAGTCGCGTGAGTTTAGGAAACAAGGCGTTTGTGGCGTTTAATGCCATCATGTACTTTATCATTCTGTTTGTGTGTGTGCTTGTGCTCCTGCTAAAGGTCGGTTGGAAAGTGCCGTTTTGGAGGGAGAGGCGGAAGAAGCGGAGAGTCAAGTGAGTGGCCCCTCCTCGTTTGAACATGGAAGAGATTTGGGACTGATGATGCTTTTTGTCTAGGAGAATGCACATCATGGCGATCAAGGAGATGAGGACGCTGAGCAATGTCGCCGTCGCTGCGACACTCACCACGGCCGTGGAGCTGGCCGTCGTCTGGAACAACATCCCCAATGTGAACAACGTCGCGGACGTGGCGCAGGTCTTGCCTCTGCTTGTCAGCGCCGGCTTCCTGGTCCGGATTCTCTTCCTTCATTTCGCGGGCGTAAGTGATGGGTCGGATTCGTCAGAGGAGGATAGTGACGGGGGAACGCATAGTTACATGACGGAGTCTCAGGGCGGGCTGCCGCCGGTACCGCCGCCTGTTCATCCGCGGTGATGGCGCAGTGCCTGTAATTGTTGACTTGGCGGTGATGATGACTTGGACGGAGGTGTGTACTATCGTTTCTGTATACCTACCGAAGCAAGCGAAACTCAAAGCCTCACTTCAGTAAGAGTGTCGGAGTTTCCCTTTTAGAAACATTCGTAGAGCCTTGAAATGATACCATTGATATAAAGTCCAGATATTAAAGTACGTCAAGGTCTAAGAAAATATAGTTCAGGATCATTCATCCAAGACGATGCCATCCCGTTACTCCTTACGCTTCACAGCGCTTCCACAATCTCAGAAATAATAACCATAGCAACAGCCAGCTCAACCGTCATACGCTCAATTCCCAACCTTGCCCATCCACCCAGGCACACTCGTAACCCTCCCCATCTCATCCACAGTCTCATCCCACAACATCCTCTGCAACCTCCAACCCTCCTCCGAAACAGCAAACCCCTCTGGCCTACACATCACCGTCAGTTGAACCGTAGCAAATCAAAGAGGAAAGAAAAAAAAAAACTTACTCCCAAATCTCCTTATCCCCCAACGTCTTCCCATGCGTCTCCCCGCCCGCGACAGCAACAGCATGAAGCCCAATCCACCCAGCCACCTCCGGCCTCCTCGCCCTCACAGCCTTCACGGCGTCAGCAATAAGGCGGAAAGGCTGCGGGAGGACATTGCTCATATTCGTGTCCACCATCCCGGGGCAAAAGGCGTTAACAATGACCCGCTGCTGCTGCTGTTGCTGTTCCCCTTCTTCAGTACCGGTCACAGCACCAGCACCAGCACCAGCACCATAATGCCTCGCCAGCTCCCGCAGAAACAGGAACCCGAGCAGCTTGCTATCCGCATACCGCGCCATACCAACGAAATTCGCCTCATCGTCAAGGTGCCCGAGAACAGACTCCCCCTTTCGAACCGTCGCCTTCCCCGCCAGGCCCGTCTTCCCAATCATCCGGCTCCCCGTCCACGCAAGCCTCCCGGGCCTCCCCGTTTCGCGCGCCGTGGCCTCCAACACGGGGAGTAGCTCCAGCGTAAGCAGCACGTTCGAGAGATAATTCACCTGCACGGTCGCCTCGCGGCCCGTAGGCGCCACGCGGCGTTGTAAGCCCGGCACGCCGGCATTGAGCATCGCGATGTGAAGACGACGATGTTTTGCCTTGAATGCCTCTGTAAAGGCCTTGACGCCGGCGTAGTCTTCTGCGTCCAGCTTCATCACCTCCACGGCGGGGGTTTGATGGAGAGAGAGAACGGTTGGGTCGGAGAGGAGTGTTTGTCGTACTGCTTCGCCCTTGGGCACGTCGCGGACGGCGAGGATGACGGGGGACGCGCCGAGGGAAAGCAGTTGGCGAGCAAGTGCGAGGCCGATGCCTGATGTTGCGCCTGTTACTATCGCTGTCTGGCCGTGCAGATTGATGTCATCGGGGAGGGGTGTGACTGGAGGCTGGAATAGAGGCATGTTGGAATGATCCTGGAATGAGGTTGGAATGATGTTAGAATAATAATGTTTGAATTGCTTCCAAGTGATCTTTCTTGTCTACCACCATTACTCCACGTAAACGTTCCACGACGCTCATTTTATTAATGAAGTCGTCGCCAATATGCCATCTCCACGCGTTCAATCTCAACTCCGCCAAGTACCCAGACACTCTCAGCAATCCAAACTCCGCCGTCGTTTGCTTTTTTCCCCCATTATCATGATTTACAACGGATTTCGTCGTTGAGGAGGATTTGGCGGACTTGGGATTCGTCACAGTTGCTTGCGGCGCAATTAGTCATCCTTGAAGTCGCCGACTTGCTTAATCACCAATACAATCGCTCGTGGGCAGCCCGGGGGGGCGGAGACGGTGCATTGCATGAGCTGCCGGAGCCTAGACTTTCAACATCCTGTTGACAATCGATATCACGACGAGAAGTCTCCGAGGACATGCCGAAGCCCGATGGGTCGGGTCTAAAGCCGGTCTTCGGCTCACGTACCGTCAGCCGGTTCCTGGGGGGGGGGGGGGGGGGTTGGTTAAGTGACTCAGCAATTTCCACTCGCCACGGAAGTGGGAGAATCAAGAGCCACGAGAGTGGAAGACCAAGACCTGCTCTCACTGATATGCCCTCTCATCGCGAATGAGGACGATGGGGTTGTGCATGTTGTTTGTTGTCCACCGACGTTGCCCGCATAATAACAGCTAGGTTGGATCATTGCGGATGCAATCCCGAGGTCAGCACCCAGCCCCGCTCCCTCTTTCTGGGAGCTGCGCAATTCGGGACACTCAATCACATCGTTGGCGCTCACGATGCCCCGTGCAGAAAGTGAACACATTGTGAACCGGTTTGAATTGAAGAATTGAGTGGTGCATAAGTGGCAGGACAATGTCGTTTTCTGGCATTTTCGTCTCTGTCGGGTCGCTGATAAGCTGGCCACTAACTAAATGGTATTCTCAACACTGACGTACAATCAACCCTGCCCTTGAAAGCCTTTTGATAGACTTGAGAAGAGCCTGTTTCGCGGCAGTGTCGACGCTTCGTGCAACGACTGCGGTCGCTGTAGAGGAGCTCTCATCCCATACAAGCCCTGCGAAAAATAAAGACACCCATAATTTCCTTCCCAAACTCCGGATTTTGTTGAAAAAAGTCGATGAACAAGACGGCGATGAATCTCGTTTTGTTGGCAAAGTCTGCCTCTGCCCTGCCTTGCCCTATAGGCCTCCACCCGGGGACGTCTCGTCTTCACTCCCCTAAGCCGAACTCCAATGACGTGTGACGAAAGAAAGGTATCATTGAGATGTGTCGTTTATGCGGAAGCGGAGGCGGCGGACTCGGCCTTGACCTCGGTGCCGGCCAGGTTAGTGGGCTTCGCGTTGGGGTTCTTGGTGTAGTAGTCGGAAATGGCGGCCTTGATGGCGTCCTCGGCAAGCATGCTGCAGTGGAGCTGTGTTGTGTTAGTCACGGCAACAAAAGAAAGAGAAGACGCTCTCTTGTCCACATACCTTGACGGGGGGAAGCTTGAGCTCCTGAGCAATCTCGGTGTTCTTGACGCGACCGGCCTGCTCCAAGCTGTACGGTGAGTTAGCATCAATGCGAGCAATGCATCTGGAACAAGGTCACTCACGTCATTCCACGAACAAGCTCGGTAAGGTAGCTGGACGAAGCGATGGCGGAACCGCAGCCGAAGGTCTTGAACTTGACGTCGGAGATGACGTTGGTCTTGGGGTCGACACGGATGTTGAGCCTATCGAATATGTCAGCAAATGTAGAATGATAGCAGAAAAGACATGATTATCGATGTCGCGAAAGGCCGGATGAAGTGCGTCGGGTCAAGGAGTGTGTAGAGCGAAGCAGCGCATGGAGTTTGAGACCCAAGTGCACGCTGCTGCCACAACCCGAGCGTCCCAAACGATGACATTGTGATATTGAGGATATAAATCGCGGAATGGCTTACTTCATGACATCGCCGCAAGCGGGGGCACCGACAAGACCTTGACCGACGTCCTGGTCACCCTTGGGCATTGAGCCGACGTTACGGGGGCGGGAGTAGCTGTACACCTCAAAGTTAGCTCTCATGTCTCCCAAATGAGATATCCGGGGTAACATACTGGTCAAGGACCTTCTCGTGGTATCCCCTCGTGGCGCCGACAGTAACAGCAGGTGCAAGCTGACGGGCGGGCAGGGTAGAAGGGCGGACAGAGGTCGCAAGGACCCTGCGAGAGGCGACGCGGAGAGATCTGGAGAACATTTTGGACGAGTTTCGGAGTGATGGTTTTTCAAAGTGGTGCAGGTCGATGAATATGGAACTTGATCAGCTTAAATCGATACGAGCGTAGTCGCAAGGGTCGATTCGGGGTATCTTTGATGAGTCGAGATGGCGATGGCGACAAAAGGTGGTCGATATAGCAAATTGCGTTTGGCAAGAGATCGAGGTGTTGAGGGGGGCAGACTTGGAGGGAGGCGAGAAGTTCTCTGGGAGGATAAATGGAAAATGGAAATTATTACGGAGTAGAGAGAAGGCCTGCGGGACTTGTGACGGAGAACGATGGCGATCTCGGGGGTAGCAGAAGCCGACGGGCCAATAGGAGCGTTCAATGACCATGCATTAAGTCATGGACAGTGGTCGGCCACTGGTCCTCAAGCACCTACCTTACCTCCACTACCTAAGGTGTCTATACTATCTTGGGCTTTAGCATGCAGTCACAGCCGTCACAGCAGTGGACGGGGATGAGGGGGTAGGTGAGGATGGCTCGGCGCCTCGGAGAAGACATTTTTTCATCCGCCTCCACAGCGCCGAGGGTCCCAGCCTTTAATCCGCTCCAAGGTTCCCTTCCTTTTTTTAGTGTCTCTTTTTCAGCGTGTCAGGATGTCAGAGCTGCAGACCTGCCCGTTATCTGATCCACACCCAGAAGCAAGGGAAAGATCTGATTGGCTAGGATGATGCCGTGTTTCCTCGGCACAGCAAGAACGCATCGCACCCAGGACTTTGGTGATTTTGGTCCCGTCCTCTTGCTGTCCACGTCGTTGACCTTGCCTTATCGGACCCACAGTACGGAGTAAGGTAGGTACTCAAGTAAGCTATCAGATGCAGGTGACCAGCTGGCAAAGTAAGAATCCATCAACCCAACAGCTCTGCGTGCTCCAAGTGGGGATGACTGGGGGGGTTTTGACGGGGCTTGACGGGGCGGCAATAATTTGTCATAGTTCTTCGCCGTTCTCGCCAGCGAAAGAGATTCAATCTGATTAGATACGCAAGCCACCTCCGTGCTCGCTGGAACTTTCTCCGTACCTTCCTTAGGTTTGACGCATTTGTACATGTCCGCTTCCAATGCAAGCCTAAGTCCGGGGAAACCGCTTACGTACATTCCACCACACAAATGGGTCCGCATATGTATCTACATTGACCTCTTGCCACGGACATGCATATAGGCCAAGATATGCTTTCAATCCATCTACACTTCCCTTATGGAAGCTTCCCCACTCCACTACGTAATCCTCAAAATCTGAGGTGCACGCCACACTGTGCCCCCCTCCAAAGCTGAGCTAATGCCACCACCTACCACTGTCACCTCAGGGAAGCTGCCAAAGTAAGTTCAGGCACCAGGTCCCTGTAAATCCAACGCGGGGCACGCAGTCCAACACCACCACCACTACCACCACCACCACCACCACCACTGTCCTTGCCTGCATCAGCTTGAGCACGAGCACACCTCAGCCTCTCACCTCGTTGTTTAGCTCTCGGCTGTCGCCTCCTGTTGGCTGCCTGTTTGTCTCTGGTCCCAACTGCGAGGCTGAACACAACTCACCTCCGACTGGAAACGAACTCATTGTCTGCATCTTACTCCTACCTCTACACATCTCTGGATTCGCCGTCAACCCCACACAAGATACCGTACCTCAGAGACGACAACCTCGACCTGGAAGCCTTCTGGTATCGCTCCCACCATGGCGTGCCCGCATCTTGAGTCCGTAGCTGCAGGTAAGTCTTCCCGAGCTCATCTTCCGACTCTCAGCTCTGTCCAGTACTATGACACTAACTGAATTCTCTCCAGCCCTCCAGCCGCCTGCACCTCACAACTCCGTTTACCGCGAAGACTGCACCCAGTGCTTCGACTCCATCGTGCGCCTTGCCCATGAACCACCTGCTTTTGGTTCTTGCTGACTTTTTTGCCCAGGACGATCCTGCTGGTGTCGATGTTTGCCTCCAGTGCTTCAACGGCGGTTGTGCTGGTGACCGCAACCATGCCCAGCTCCACCGACAGCTCTGGAGCCACCCGCTCGTTCTCAACATTCGCCGCACCCGCAAAGTCGTTGTCCGAGATGAACCCCCCTTGAAGATGTCCAAGCTCGCCATCGCCGCCGAGACCGAGGCCGACCGATACGATACCACAACCACTGTCAAGTGCCTTGAGTGCAAGCAGGACTTGGACAAGACGAGCGACAAGCTTGCCCCCATTGTGGATGGCATCATGAAGGCCAATACCTTCTCGAGGAAAGAGGAGGTCAAGGCGTGGGAGCAGGAGCTTACGAGTTGCGAGCACATCCTGCTCATGCAACAGACCGAGCCAAGAACCATTCAGTCTGGTGATCTCGGACACTGCTCCGCCTGTGATCTGCACGAGAACCTGTGGCTCTGCTTGGAGTGTGGAAACCTGGGCTGTGGACGGAAGCAAATGGGAGGTGTCGACGGCAACTCTCACGCCCTCGCGCATTCGGACCAGTCCGGCCACGGCGTCGCCGTCAAGCTTGGGTCCATCACTCCCGAGGGAACGGCCGACGTCTACTGCTACAAGTGCGACGAAGAGCGCATCGACGGCGATCTCGGTCAGCACCTGGGACACTGGGGCATCAACCTGGCGAACCAACAAAAGACGGAAAAGAGCTTGACCGAGATGCAGATTGAACAGAACCTGCGCTGGGACTTTAGCATGACCACAGAAGACGGCAAGGAGCTTAAACCTCTGTTTGGCGCTGGATTGA